TCAGGATAGGGCATACAATGAAAACTTTACAATAATGCCCAAATCAATAATATACACCATAAATATTTACATTGTCATTGGGCGTCTGTAGAAATTGTGGATATTTTATGATCAGCCTGAAATACTCCCTTAACTTTAGATTCCTGATTGTGACCTCCATGACCTGCTAGTGCTCCCTCACTCAAAAATTTCATCAGAGGTGGAGGATATTGGTCATGTCTAATAGTTGTCTCTATTCCAAGATCATCTTGTCCTCTGTGAACTGTATATGGAATACTGTTCTTTCCTAAGCACATTTCACATTTCTTCCTCACGGTATACTTTTATCCACTTGCCGTTTTCATTTTTCTGTAACCACCTAAGACACTGTGATAACACCATAATTGTAAATTTCTTGACATCTTCGTGATAACATGAAGGCACAGGGGCTCATGTAGTGTAACATTCTGTCTTTGAGAAGGTCATGTAGACAGACTTTCAACTATTTTTTATGGTTAGGATGTATGTAAATCTCTACCATGACATTTTACAAAAATTGGAGACCAAATTCAGATGTATGGAGAGAAATTAGAATATTTATCAGGTCTATTTATTCTGAACAATATTTTTTTCTGATATGCATGTCATACCTCCTATTATTAATACTGAACATAGTAAAACACAACTCCTCTGTTTATATGTTTTCCAAAGTGTTTGTTTTTTGCTCCAGGAGTTCTACACTGGTTACATTGAAAAGGAGTATTACCTCTAATTTAAGGCAGGAATGGTATATGGGTTTTATTCGACAGCGCACTCATGTGGCAAGATTTAGAAAGTACATAAACAGTGTATTACAGCATTCGTTGAATGCAATGTAATTTTTTCTTTACAGAAGATAAAATAACACATAAAAGTTGTTGCAGATTAAATCAATACAATGATATGTTCTCCTGTATAATTCTTTTTATTACTATTTTTTAAGATACTTTGATTGCATACTTAGAAAAAATATCCTATTTCAAATGTTTTGGTGATACAAGAGTTCCCAATAAAGGATATTATTTCGTTTTGTTATATGTGGCCCCTTTCTTTACTGAAATTTAATTTCTTGATATCTTCATTTTTTTCATAACCACAGACTAAAAGTTCTGTTCTCTGTGACAGATCTGAGTATAGCTAAGATGTTATCACACCAAAATCTCTGAACATCACATTTTGTGGCTCCTCAGCTCCTAGTCTATGAATTGTATGCAGAATTATGACTGCAAGTTCTCATATGCTCAAGGCAAGGCCAGATATATAGCAAGAAGTAACAACTTTTATTATGCAACCTGATACCAGTGAGGAAAGTATAAATGAGCCTCCAGGCAAACAAGCCTTTCTTAAAAAGTACAAAAATAGTGGAGTTGAAAGCTGGACATACATTAAAAGCAAGTGGACTTATTTATTTAGATATGCAGCATATGATCATACGATCAAACCCTCCATGTCATCTCAGATCTGGCTCATCACAGGGGAGACCTACAAAACATTTTCAAAGGATGAGCCCTGATCAAAAATTCTAACTTTTTGGAATTAAAAAAAAAAGTAAAAAACAGATACTGGTTTGGTACTTCATTATACACTCTCTCCTCCTGAAAAAGCTGCATATTTCAGAGACCCATAAATTCTTTTTCTTTTGTTAAGAAGACAGTCTTCTCAAAGAAATTGTTACAGACTTTGAGGGAGCTGGAGAGATGGTAACTAGTTAGCTGACAGAAGTCAAATCAGCTTTACTGTTGCCATTTCTAGTCTTTGTGAAGTTGTATTTCAGGGAAAAAAACGCTCCTTGGAGCACGCTTCCCACATTTTGGGCAATCACATGCAGTTGTAGATAGGTAAAAGTGTCAGGGATCAGAGAGATATAGCAAGGCATGCAGGGCAGAGTGCTCTCTAAGAAGAGATGCAGTACCACTGTATCCATGCCAGAAGAACTTTTAATTCTCTCTTTCTGACAGTACATCTTTGGTCCAACTGAAATGGTTAGAAAGATTGCCTAGAATCTTGGTAAGCCTTCTTTTGTTCTGCCATTTCCCATGGCTAACAGGTTTCTTACAGTGTCTGGCTGCCAGCAGGTTCCACAGCGGTGAGGTTGCAAGCAAGGGCATTTCAATGGGGCTGTAATATAGGAGAAGGATATTCAGTCCTGAACGAAGAAATGCCCTATTTTGAAGACTACTGGACAGTTGACCTTTGTTAATTCAGTGGAGGACTGATATCAAGAACTCTGAAGACTCGTGCCTTTCATGTTTCTAGACCAAGGATTGAAGGAAAGAGGGAAGCCACTGCTAGAAAGCCCTGTTGGAAGAGGCCTAAGAGGCTGTTCGGATTAATTTTTCTGAGTGACCCAAAAGTACCAAAAAGTGAGAGTTGCAGGCCAAGCATCCAAAAGGCACAAAAGTTCTAAAGAAGCTGCCATCTTAATCTAGTTTTATTTAATTTATACTAGAAATTCCCACTGTAACTTGAATGGCTTCTTTTCCATTATCTTCAATTATGCTTTTTCTATAGTTCATTTAATCTCCCCACATCTTGCAAGACTCCCTCCACCACTTCTGTCCCTCTGGTGATGACTCTTCAACTTCATCTTGGAGTGGGACTTAGACAAGATGAACACTATTCCTGAGTTAAGTTATTAAAGAAAACACAACAAAGCATTCCCTGTTTCGCACCAGAACATGCTGGTCCTTATGGTCCCAGTACAAGAAAGGAATTCAGTTTCTGTCTGCAAAGTATAATTTCAAATGCAATTTATTAGAGTTAACACCGTAAGGAAATAGAGAATTGTTATCCTACAGCATTTCAGACTTCATAATGATGTGTAATGCCACATCAAATGGGTCTCTAATAAGGGCACATCACAAAGACTCTGTCTGTGGACCCCACTGTGGTCATTCAAGCTATTAGAGAATTTTCTTAAAATAAAACAACTTTATTATTTCTACTGTCAAACAGAAAGGATGTTTGCATAAGGACTTCTTGCTGCACTTTTAGATAGAAGCAAAGTCACGGAGGTGCCAGTACAATGTGGGAGCTGCTCATGGCTCCTTTAGCACTGTGCTGGCTGAATTTATCCTGTGACCATGGGATATGCCCAGCACAACACAGGCCTGAAGGTCACATGGCTGCACTTGGGTTAACTATTGCATGGACACTACAGTCTCAAAGCGCAGTGGCCCTTCCAAGACCACTAATGTGGAGGCACACTGCAGCCTGTGGTCCAGCACCACACCCTGTGTGCACATTATGGTGTCTGACCTCATTTCTCTGGAGTCTACAATTCAAGAGGAGGCTTTGGAGAATAAAAACAGGCACCTGTAACATCACTGAGTGATCAGGAGAGATGTCAGGACTTTGGGGATCAACTTCTGAGCATAGGCTGTTACCTGGGCTTTGTAGATTGGTGTTGGAAAACGGGGCTAGAGGGGGTCCAAAAGGCACAGCCTCTGTCCAATAGGCACAGCCTCCAGGGAAAGCACTGTGGCTGGAGTACCATACTTGTCCCTCTGCTCAGGCCCTTTCTGCAAAATCGGCTTGACAGAAGCATTTATGAAAGCTGGCTCTGACCTAACAGGGATTTAAGGAACAGAGACTTCCTGGTGTCCTTAGACTGAGAAAGCACAGTAACAACAGGGGAGGGGTTCTTGATTTCTTTATGTTCCAAATTCTGATTTACTCCCATCAAGAGAACTCCACTATGAGCAAGGTCTCTGGTGTGATCTCTGCAGAGCATTACCTTGCAGAATTTTTGTATAAATATCTAAAGGGAGGGTGCCAAGAGGACAGAGCCAGGCTCTTATTGGTAGTATCAAGCAATAGGACAGGAGGCAATGGGCAGAAACTGATGCACAGGAAGTTTCACTTGAACTTGAGGAAGAACTTCTTTACTCTGTGGGTGAGTGCCCTGGAATAGATTGCTCAGAGAGGTTGTGGAGTCTCCCTCACTGGAGATACTCCAGAACCGTCTGAACACAATCCCAGGCAATACGCTCTGGGATGACAGTGGTTGAGCAGGGAGGTTGGAGCAGATGTGCCTCTGTGGTCTCTTCCAACCTGAACCATTCTGTGATTCTGTGAGAATGGATAAGAACGTCCCTACGAAGTACAGGTTTGATCAAGGAAAACTTCGGTTTTTTCCTGCCCCCTTACATTAATTCCCTCTCTCTCAGCAGGGTGTCCCCAGCTTTTTGTACAGTTATGGATGTGGAAGAGGAAAAAACTGAAATCGCACACACAGGTAACTGTCTCCCAGCTGCTTTGTACCAGTACTGTGGAGACTGCTACTACTGCGGAGTTCCCCGTCGCCGGGGCACTGTCCTTTGGCATGTCGTGTAGGGGTGAGTGGGACCGGAGGGTGCTTGAGAGCAAACCTGGAAAGACTGCAAGTGCCCCCCAGAACAGGTCAGCGTCGTGCGGAGCAGCCTCCCCTCAAAGGCACCAACTCCTGAGGCAAGTCAGGCAGGACCGAGTGTAGAACCGAGCGCTTTTGCGAGCGGCTGCCTCTTTTGTGAGCTGCCGTCTCACTTCCACGGCTGAACGCCAGTGAGGGAACACCTCTGGCATTTGGTAACAAATCCGCTATCTGGGCGTCTTGAGAGGAAATCTCTCCCCCAGAGCAAGGCAGCAGAGGTCTGCGGGACGACGACGCACGGCCCCGCCAAAGGACAGGGGCATAAGACCCCCTGCCCACCTCCCCGCTCTGAGCGATCGCCCCTCCCTCGCCAGCGCGCGCACCAACGGCCGCCCGCGCGTCCCCCACGACCGAGCCCGGCGCCCTCTGATGACGCCACGTCTCGCCCGGCGTCCGACAGCACTCGCCCAGCGCCGCCGGCGCAGCCGGCCGCGCGCATGCACGCTGGGGTGAGTGGCGCCGCGTCCCTTCCCGTGCCCGCCCGGGGGGCCACGCCCCCTCCCCCCCGCCCTCGCGCCCCCCTCGCGCCGCCCGTTGCCCGCCGGAGGCCGTGCGAGGTCGGCACGCGCCGCCCGCCCCTCGGGAGCGAAGGGAAGGCCCGGCCGGGCGGGAAGTGCGCGCCCCGGAGCCGGGATGCGCCGGTGCCACCGCCGGCGGCGGCGGCAGCAGGAAGGGGGCGGGCCCTGAGGGCGAGGGCGCGGTCCCCAGGCGGGCGGGGCCGCGAGCAGGCCCGGGCGGTGCTTCCCCGGCGGCGGGCGCGTCCCGCCCCCCGGTGCGGGGGCAGGGCTGGGGCCGTGCCAGGGCAGCGAGGCGGCGGCTGAGCGGGGTCTGTGTCCGCAGCTGAGCCCAGGGCGGATGCGGCGGCCGGGCGAGGGGCAGCGCCGCGGTGCCCGAGCGGTGCCGAGGAGCCGGCCGGGGGCGGGAGACACGGACTCCGGCGGAGATCTCCCGGCGGATCGGCCCGCCGCCCTTCGGAGCGGGATGGAGGAGCCCGACAAGGAGGGAGATGGTGCCGGAGGGAAGACCGCCTGGCAGCAGAGCCTGAGTCCCGAGCTGCAGCAGGGATACCGAATCCTGCGCGAGTTCCTACTAGAGAAGTACCGGCCTCTGACGGCGCCGTTCCTGGAGCCCCTCGCGGATCAGGCATCCTTCGGAGAAGAAGGCGCCGGCTCCCCCTCGGGCCATAAGAGCGGTCAGTCCCTCCAGCAGTTGCCAGCTGGAATATGGCTGTTGAAGATGGAAGAGAAATTTTCCAGTGGGCAGTACACAGGGATAGCAGATTTCGTGTGTGACTTCCGGCTTATGCTGGAGACTTGCTACCGGCTGCACGGTGTGGATCACTGGCTCTCCAAACAGGCCCAGAAGCTGGAGATGATGCTGGAGCAGAAGTTGGCGCTGCTGTCCCGGTAGGTGTAGAAAAGTCTGTAGATTCCCTGCCGCATGCTGTTTACATAAAGTAGAACAGGGGGGTGTGTTTCTTTGTGTGAAAAATTCCATTAAAAGAGAACAAACACCGATCCAAACCAAACAAAGCCCCACAACAGAATACTGGAACTCTCAATACTTTCATGTGAGGAACGTTTCCTAGTGTGAGGTATTCAAATCTTAATTCAAAACTCTTTGGAAATTCCAAACCTGAATATTCCAAAAATAATTCCAAACCAAAATGCCAAACAGAGCACAGCTTTTCCTGGCTAAGATTTTCCTCCTGAAAGAAGCTTTTTGTGAACATGGAGACGCACTTGTTTACACAAGATGTCAAATGCTTCTTTATTTTACTCTGTCATGAAGCTGCCTAAACTCTGTATGAATATCTGGCTCTTTAGAATTGTTTTTTTAACATTCTGTGAATTTTTTACTGTCTTGAAAATAAGTAGGAGTAAAATCTTGAACCAAAGTTACCTGCTTTGAAATGGCATATTTTTTGATACTCATAAAATGAGAGACAGTACTTGGCATACTGTAGTCTTAAATGGCAAAATGGAAACTGTGATAAGTTTAAATATGAGTCCCCAGCCATAAAGCAGCTGAAACGTAGAGAGCTGTTGAGCTATATGGTAGAAAGGCCAGTTTAAATCACGACTGAAGTAAATGCTTTCTCATGAATTTGTCATAGGCACAGTTCAGTCATTATCAGAAACTCATAGTGGCTTCTTACAATGAAAGGCCCACCAGTCTCCTGAATGACATAGTGTTTTGCATGTAAAAACCAAAAGTTTTTTTTTGGCTAAAGGTGAAGGTGAAGAAGGAACAGTATTAGGAAGTTTGTAAAGGTGTGCATGTCCATCAGCTTTAAGCTTGTTAGTGACACAGAGCGTGACCTGCCAGCTGGTAAGAAGAACCTTGCTTGTGTAGTAGGAACGCTTGAGGAGCGTGGTGCAGAGCTCAGCTGAAACTGGAATGAGCATATGCATTCTGATGTAGCAACAATATATTTGAAACTGTTTTTGTATAACAGCAGTTTTGAGACAGTTTGTGAGAAGGGAAGGAACCAAACCTAATGGGGCATGCATGTTGTTAGCTTGCTTGAGTAAAACTTGGTTTAAAAAAAAATCAGAATTCCTGGCTTAGTAGAGTTACTGCTGGGAAATAAATAACCAAATGCAGCTTGGAAAATCTGTGCTGTGGTCATTTCTGTATGTTGTGTGACTGTAGCATCTCTACTGTATTGAATTGATGGGCATTTTGTTGAAGGCTCTTGGTTGAATTAAGTGACTACTCACTTCATTCGGTAGGACCTGAGAATGCACAATGCTGTTTTATAAGAAATTATGTAAGAAAGTGAAGTCAGTTTATGCACTGTGTCATCTAAATAGCCATATATGTATTTACTAAAAAAAAATATGAATTGCCCTTGTAATTATTTCAGAAATTCACAGTCATTTTCAAATAAATATTAGGAAATACTAAACTAAAAATAATCTTGCCTCAGTATATGGTGAATTTCTCTTGTATTAGCTCTTCAGAGATTTGTAAAGATGTACTCAATATGTCTGTGTGCGCTAGCTTAGTAAAAGTTTCTAAGAACTATATATAGAAAGGACTATGGAATCTAGAAGTCTCAAAGTTCTTTTATAATTTTTGATCAGACAAATTTGTTTTAAGTGTTTACCAGACCTAATTTTATGAGTAAAATGCAATTGAAGAACTACTTCCTGGAATAATCATTCTTGCATCATTACAGAGCAATGTTTAGCTTAATGATCCCCTTCAAGTGGTTCAAGGGAATCAATCAATGTTAGTTGTATAATTCTCAGATGGTACAAGCTACAGAAAATTACCTTAGAATGGAGATTGCTTTTGAATGGAGATTGGATTTTTCCTCTCTGTCCCCTCAAATGTTTTCAGAGTTTGTGAAAAACTCTACCATTTTTAGTGGAGTATTTTGAAACAATGTAGGATGAAATGAAACTTTGCAGCCAAATTTGTAGTGTTTTGCCTTTCACCTTTTGTAGTTTTAAACAGCACTAAACTGGTGTTTAACACACACTTCCCCAACCTAAACCAACAAATACACCTTTTTTGCCCCCCAAATATTTATGGATTAATATAGAGAATTCAATCTCCAAATAATATTTGGTTACTTGAGGTAAATATCCACCATTTTTAACTGATGTGAAAACTTAGGGCATTTTAGCATGTTGGGTTTAAAATTTCATGAAGGAACTTCTAAAGTGGAAAAACTGGCAGACGAAAAGGTAACTGCTTTTGTCTGAGTAAATATGCTTGACCCATGGTTGGTAGGGTAGGCATTGAAGTACCACTGGCAAGGACAGTCATAGTTGTGAATTGGCTTGCTTTTTTCTTCTAGGCATTTAAGAGAGAAAACATCATTAGCTGTCACATCTAGAGGATGCTATGGGCAGGAAGATGAGAAAGGAACAGCATGCATTTCCACAAGACGTCGTTCCACACCTCGCAGTTTAGTAGGCTTGTCAACAGGCATGTTTGAGTCTGTGATGGTTCAGGTTCTAAGACAAGAGGAGCAGCTGAGAGCAAAAGAGGAAAAGAGGTAATAGGAAAAACCGTTTTGTTCTAGTTTTAAATAATTATGTCTTCCTAGTTCTCTACAGGGGCTAGCTCCTTATGGCTTTTTTAGGTAAATAAATATTATGGAGCTCTTGTGCTCTTAAGTTCATGACTTCAATACAGTACATCCGCAAAGCAAAATGTTAGTACCACCTTCTGGAAAAATTGCTGAAGTCATAGAATTCACCACATAATGACGAAGTCATTACGTTAAATTATAGCTGCTTTTATTTTAGGATTGTGAAACTTTTAAGACTAATTAAGAACATCCACAGCAATTTCCTGTTAGCTCATTCACAGGTTATCACCCATGTCCTTGGACTGTTTTTCATGCAACAATTAGATTAAAAACTACCAGAATGCTTAACTACATCTAATTCCATGATCTTGTCACTGCTTCCCTCACTGATAGCCAGAAGCAAATTATCTCTGCCAGTGCCACTGCTGTTACCTCACTGATGTGGCGTTTCAGCTTGTCAGTTAGGTAGCACTTTCAGAATGTGTGCGCAATTAAAATCTGTCAGATTTTGAGGTGTATAATTCCAGGTGGTGCTTAATGTTAATATGTTTCACTTTGAGGAGAAAGAAGCTTGTAAATTTGTATATTTTAATAGTAACTTGAGTGACTGTGTCTGAAGGTGGGGCATGATGGTAAGACGGTATTTGTTTTAGGAAGCAAAATGTTTCTAGCTTTTTTCGAAGCTTTGGAGGCTTCTTCCCATATGTAATCAATTCACTCTAATTTTGCAGGCAGTCTTAATTTTCAACAGATCTGAAGCTATTTGGCTGACTTAACTGTTAGACAGTACTTTTTCCCTAGAAAGGAGTGAATCTTTTTTCTAATCCACTCATCTTCTAATCACGCTTCACAAAAAAAAGAAAAGCGAAGATCACCAGCGTTTTTGTTTCTCTGGTAAAAGTCTCTTGATTTTTGCTCAATTCTTTGTTCTAGAACTCAGAACTTGATAAAACTGTTATGAAAAAAAAACATTTTGGTTGTATTTTAATTCACCCATAGAGTCTGTGGAATATTTTACCAGACAAAGTAAAAATTTGGCTTTCGTACGGCTCTTTTAAGCTATTCCTGCAACACTGTAGTAATTAACAGTTAAATTCATGTATCTGGATGTACTCAAAAGTCCCAGATCCTGTGCAAAGGATACTCCACAGTGCTTGGTTCTACAGAAAATTCTGTGATAACAGAAGATCACAGCAAGCTTGTCCCTTTACACCCTAAAATGTTGAACTGTACCATTTACTATGAAGCGATAAAAATCTATCACTAAGTAGCTATCTATCACTAGTAGAGTCGAATATTTCTTTGACTCTATTGAGCTACTCAAATAATTGTGCTTCAGATATCTTCTTAAGTTATATTTCCTTGTGGATCCCATCATGTTTTCAAAGTAATTTGGACCTCTCTATATCAGTTGCTTCCCAACTCACAAAAAATGTTCCAAAAGTACCTTTTAGTAGTATTTTTTGAAAAAGGCTTGGAAATTGGAAGACCTATAAAATTAGTAATATATTACTAGTGAAGATCACATGATAACAGTGTATATAAATTTTCAAAGTGTTGTATATATAAATGCACAGACTTTCAGCACTAAGATAGGACACTGTTTTTGTTCAAAAATATATTTCAACTTTCTAAACTTATTTTGGCTTATTACTAAAGTATAGATTATGTTGTTAAGAAGACAAAATGGTTATTCTGTGTTTTTTTTTTTTTAGAAATCTGATACACTGAGGTTGGCACAGAAGGAATACTTTCAAAATTAAATGCAAGATTACAGGCTTGGATATTTCAGTTGGCAAGCACTGTGCTGGCCAATAAGTTGTATTTGGATAGGCAGCATCTGCTGTTCACCCCATTTCAGATGAGTTGTCAGGAACATAAAAAAAAAGCTCCCTTTCTGCCATCCAGTGGACCCCTCAGCATGCATGTACTTTCTAGCCAGTAATTATCTTAGTTTAGAATGCCTAGGAGTTACATGCTTTCAGTCCCAAATAACTAAGGTTATAAATGCAGGGGCCTGTCTACAAAACTTAGCTTCATACCTAAAGAAATTACCTGTTGAAGTATAATTTTATATCTAATTCTTTGCTCTAGATATTTAGATACTCTTGTAAGGCACAGGCATCTTATGGTGAATATTAAATAAAACTAAAATGAAATTAAAAATACTAAAATATACAAATAGATATAATAATGTATATTATATATAAAAATAAAAATAAATCCTTTAAAAAATTTTGGGTTTGTTTTCCCCCCAAAATCCTTGACATTGATTTTGCAAGCTTTTTTCTAACTGCATATTTTGGAAGAACATCCTGAAGTGTGATTTTTATCTTCTTTTCTGTAGTTAGCTTCATGGAAATCCTCCTACAAATTCTACCTATGTTTTCGTTATATGGGTATCCTTCATCGAGGGTTCTCTTTTTCTTGCAATTTATCCATTTCTTGCACAATCAGTTTCATTTTTTCTTTATTCCGTGTTTTACAACTTCCCCCAAGTGACACATTCATCATGGTACACTCAACATGTGAAACTGAGATGTCATTGCAAAGCAGATTTCATTATTTTGCAGATAATAATTTCTGTACAGTGGCAAAAGCACTTTTTCCCAAGCTTTCCTTTTCTTCAAGTGTTCTAATTATCAGAATATTGATCATCTTCTTTGGATTATTAATTACGTTTCTATGAGTTTCTACTCAGCTGTTTGGTTACATGCTAATATACATATACATAGCAATATACATACTAATTTACATATCAGTTAATAATAAATAATTGTGGGATTTTTTTTTAATTGGAAATGCTTGCCTAATTATGTACTGAAACATAGAGGTAGATTCCTACTGAAATTTTTAAAACCGTTGGTGAATGACAGCTAATTAACTGATTTCAGTGGGAATTAAGTGTCTCTATAACTTTGGTTTGTTGAAAGTTGTGCTAGGCAGAACTTCACCATCTCTGAAAATATGATCCTGGGATAAGTTTCAGATTTGTTCATCAGAACATTTAAAGAGTTCAATTCTGGTTGCAAGTTAGTAATTTAGTTTAGCAAATTTTGGAATAAGATATGTTTATACAGTCAGTTTTGATTTTTATGAGGATGTTAGCATGGAATTAACCTGGGTCCTAGAGAAAAATGTAGAGTATGTTATAATATGATGTAAGCCAGTACAGATACAGAATTAAGGTTACACGGGCATATTCCAATTTAATACCTTCTGAGTGTTACACCTTGACTTAATTTAGAATAAGGTGTAATATTGCTAATTTGGACATAACTTTTGATTTCATTTTTTAAAAGAAAGTTTGTAGAAACAAGTTATGGTAGAATTAAAATAGTTCTCTGTATCTTGTCATTAGAGTTCCAGTCTCTGACCTTTTACCTGAATCAACACCTGCATAGGTTAGAAGTGGTAATTGAAGGAACAAAGTAAAATCTAATCATTGTCTCCTCTCCCCTCCAAGTGAAATCTCTTGTTGCAAGTGAGAAGGAGTTTGCTGGTGCTATCTGTCTGCTGTCTCAAAGGAGAAAATAATAAGAAAAGTGGGAGTTACATCTGGACTCTGTTTTAGGTTTTATCTCTACTTGGGGATCATGGTTGCTGAGCTTTAATGTGAAATACGATGGCTTTATCCACTTAAGAGCTGCAAAACAAGTGCTGCACATGTGTTGTGGGAATATGACCTTAGTCTGGAAGTGTCAGCTTTACCTTAGATTAGTTTTGTTATGACTGTAAGCACAATACATGTCTGCAAACATATTCATGGTAAATGTGAATAAAAGTATGAAATAAAAGCCAAATATGTATGTCCAGAGAATTTCTCAGTCCAACAGCAAATGTCTCTCTCTTACCACCCCCCATTTCTTCCTCCATCTCTGCTCCCTTGCCCCACCCCTCTCCCCTCTTCATTCCCTTCTATCCTCTCAAAAAAAAAACCAGAAAAACAAACATTGCAGGAAAAAGCTATGCCCTCCAAAAGATTCTAGCAGGAAGACCTTGATTGTCATCCTCATTTCTATGTAACCTTTGTTGATCTCACCAAGGCTTTCGATACTGTGAGCAGAAAAGGTCTGTGGCAGATTTTGGAACGTTTAGGTTGTCCCCCCAATTTCCTTAAAATGATCATCTCACTCCATGAGGATCAGCACGGCCAAGTCAGATATGGAGATGCACTTTCTGAGCCCTTTCTGATAACTGATGGTGTGAACAAGGCTGCATTCTCGCACCAACCCTGTTCACAGTCTTCTTCAGCATGATGCTCCAAAGGGCCACGGCAGACCTCGATGATCAGGACGGTATCTACATTCGATATCGTACTGATGGAAGCCTTTTCAACCTAAGGCGACTGAAGGCCCACACCAAGACCTTAAACCATCTTGTCCGGGAGCTGCTTTATGCTGATGACGCCGCCCTTGTTGCCCACACAGAAGCAGCCCTGCAGCGTTTAACATCCTGCTTTGCTGAGGCTGCTGAGCTTTTTAGGCTGGAAGTCAGCTTAAAGAAGACAGAAGTTCTCTATCAACCTGCACCTCAGGAAGTCTTCACCACTGGCAAATCGGAGCTCAAATTGGTCCAGCAGTTTAATTACCTAGGTAGGCTCATCTCCTCGATGGTGAGATCAGCGGAGAGATAGACAAAGGCAGAGGTTAGCAAAGGCATATAGAGCTTTCGGAAAGCTTCGTAAAAGAGTCTGGTGAAATAAACATCTGAAGAAAAGCACAAAGATCAGAGTTTACAGAGCCATTGTGCTGTCTACTCTCTTATATGGATCTGAATCATGGGTCCTCTACCGCCACCACCTGCGTCTCCTAGAATGCTTCCATCAACGCTGTCTCCGCACAATCCTAAACATCCACTGTTGAAAGTATATTAGATGATGCAGGACATAACATACTGCTTCAGGCCTGCTTGCACAATCCGGCCTGCGTGCTGGACGGCAGGGACCTGTGTTCTCCAGCAGCAGATGTGTGTCCTTGAGCAGCAGATATCAGAAAGCTGCATAGAGGAAAACAAGGAAGGAGGATGCTATCCAGAGTGTGAGAAACCAGAAGATGGGGGGGCCTGAAAATGTGCCTTGACTAGTAGAGCCAATAGAGTTATAGATATAGTGTGTGAAAGTGAATGTAAGTTAGAATAGGAAGTTAGAACAGAGCGTGTGAACCCTGTAGGACCCTTGATAATGTGTGTATTTTTGGAATAAAGTTAGAGCATTGCCTGTACCTCTATGAGGATGTGTCTCTGACTCTCGAGCTCGTTTTTTGCATCTTCTTCTCCTTTTAATCCACTGCTCAGATTATGTGACTAACACGTCTGTTCTAGAACAAGCAGCTGTCACAAGTATTGAGGCCATGTTACTGAGAACACAGCTGCGATGGGCAGGACACGTCTCCAGGATGAAGGACCACCACCTCCCTAAGATCCTGCTTTATGGCGAACTTGCCACTGGCTGCCGCAAGAGAGGAGCCCCGAAGAGAAGATACAAGGACTCCCTGAAACAACATCTCAGCCTTGGCCATATTGATCACCATAACTGGTCTACTCCGGCCTCCAGTTGGGAGGTCTGGAGACACACTATCTTTAGCACTGCTGATGCTTTTGAGAACACACACAGGATCACTCTCGAGGGGAAAAGACAATGCAGAAAGAATCGTGCCTTGCAGAATACACCATCTAAGGAGTCTTTCTGCTGTACCTTTTGCAACCGGACGTGTCTATCTCGTATTGGCCACCAGCACACTTGTAACAAACATGAGTAGAGCCCTTCCCAAATCTTGGTTCGCAAAGCCTAGCCATAATGATGACTACCCCCCATTTCTTCCTCCATCCCTGCTCCCTTGCCCCATCCCCTCTCCCCTCTTCATTCCCTTCTATCCTCTCAAAAAAAAACCAAAAACGCCCCAAAAAAACACTGCAGGAAAAAGCTATGCCCTCCAAAAGATTCTAGCAGGAAGACCTCAATAATGAAGACACGAAAGTGTGCTTTTATATACATTTTCTCTTGAATGTCTGCTGAGAACGGAATGATAACAGATATTGTGATAAAACAACAGTTTAAAAAACAAAGGCGAACTTTTTGCAAGTGAAACAACTTATATTTTTCTTTTTAAGGAATCTTCTAAAGCATTCTTAAAATAGTATAATAATTGTAATTTTATCTGGACTGAAGTGAATCTATGGTATTGTGTTTGAGAATTCTATCTTGATTTAAATTATAAATTGATGATAAATCGAAACTGCTTGCAAAGATGATATTTTTGGATCACCTACAGCTTGTATTTTTCTCAACAATACTGAAATGTTATTGTTTCTACATATGTTCTATCTCACTATATGTTCATATTTAATCTTATTTCCATACCATATTAATAGTGTTCACACCTTTTGGAGGCAGCAGGTTATTAAGAGGTGTGTTTTACATTTAGGAGGAAGGAGGGAGTGGGATCCAAAAGTGCTTTGAAATTGATGTTTGAGACTGTTTTTTACTTAATATCATTTCTTCCTGTCTCACATGTAAATCAGTTATTTTTATTTATTATTTTCTGTTCTTTATTATATCAAAGCAGTATTAGCACATTGAAATAGAACATAAGTCAGAATAAAAATAATGCTTACTTTACCTATGCAAGTAGTATTGTTGAATTTATTGGTTTGTTCACATGGAATGGCAAATGGGATTTTGTGCTGCAAAGTAGGATTTTGTTTTTATATCCCATCTTTTACATCATTAAATTAATGCTGCATTGGGATACTGAAGTTAAGAATTACTGGTCTGTTTGGTTTTACATTTTATGCTTTACATGAATCTGTCACAAGAATGTGTGTTTGTGGTATTAAAAAGTTCTGTTCAAATTATAGTAATAATTCACTGGAAGTTTAATTTAATTGTATAAGATAAAGTATTCAGTAGAATCTTACTGTATTTTATGTTATTTTGCATATATATGGTATGTTTCTCCAGTGCTGACTAAAATGTGAACTAAGTTGGGTTGGTCACATTTTTTACATTGTTGAGATAGCTAGTCAGTAGTTAATGCTTCAAATACACGCTCTTCAAGCTAGAAGCCACTATTAGCTTCAGGTTGTTAGAAGAAAGATTTTAATTTATTATTACTCTTTTGCTGAATTTGAAGGCGTTGATGCTTTGAATGGCTACATGCCATTTATTCGCTACTTGTGTATGAAAAAAATATAATTGGAGGTTAGCAATCTGGAAATAAGGACATGGAAATTCCGCAGGTCATATTAGTGTTGTAGGCAGGTCATTGTTTCTACCAGCGATAGAAGTTTTAGGGAAAAACATATGAGAAGCTTAGGATGAGCTCTAAAAAAATTTTCCTGTAAGTACAGCTGTATCCTAATGCTATCTTTTGGAATCTGGTCACGCCTTCAGGCAGAAACGTTAGTTTACTATTGGAGCATTAAAGAAAAACCCCTTCTGTTGCTGGTAACCTTTGATATTCTTGTGATTCATGCAGATGTCCAATTTTCCTCTTTGGAACTGAATTAACATATCCTATATTTTAGTAAGTTAGATGGAAAGCTAGGTGTGATTTGATTATCTGAAATGGAAGCATTTCTTCTAACACTTGTTGCCCTTAAATTGCATGATGAATTTCCAAATAAAAGTAAATAGAAGTTCTCAGTCTGTTGTATTAGCTTTGTATATTGCTGTCATGTTTCCTCTTGCTGGTGTTTTGTGTGGACCTCCAGATTATTCAGAACTTTTTTACAGGCCTTTGATTACTGATAACCTCTTTCTCTGAATACACATTATTTCTGCTCTATCCTTTTTTTAGATAGGGGGACCAGAACTGAATACATTTTTTCAGGTGAGGGCAAACCATTCATTAATGTAATGACATTTTATTTCTGGTGTTACTTTCCGTCACATTCTTTGTGCATCCCAATACTTGTTTCCTTTTTAACTACCATTGCAAACCAGCACACCTATGACTGGGAGGGAAAATGTGTGTAAATAAAGCACTTAGCACTTAGACATGTACACTTGTGTGCTGAGGAAGGGAAGTACAAGGAGGGTGATGCAAGCCGCAGGGCAACCATTTTACAGCAGGATTTACCTGGAATTTGTTTTGGAGATTTTGATATGGATAATTTGATGAATACTTAACCCTGACAAAAAGAGACTGGGGAAAGAAATACATTTTAAAACCTCCAAAAACCTAAACCACACAGACTATTGATATATGCCAGGCTTTTTTCTTACCTTTTTCCATTTTTAAACTAGTGGTGATAGATTATAAAAGACTGTAATTTCCCATTTTGGTCCAGTGATGCATTGTGTACTGCAAAATAAGAGAAACTGAACTAAAACTTTATGTGCTGTGCTCTTCATTAGTTCAAGATAAGTATGTTTGTCATGCTGATTTTTGTCTCCCTCATTTTTTTTGTTCACCCAGTGTCTGAATTTTCATGAACTTTCTTTTAATAGGCAGAGAGATCAAGAAAGAAAAGAAGCAGAAGAAGCCAGTCAGAAAGAAATAGAAGAATGGGAAAAATCACTTTTAGCTCAAGCAGCACCTACAAGGATGGAGACGATGTGGGAGATTCCAGCTATTGGTCATTTTCTTTGTTTAGCACAACAGATTTTAAATTTACCTGAAATAGTATTCTATGAATTGGAACGCTGTCTTCTGATGCCTCAGTGTAATGTTTTTTTATCTAAAATAATGACTTCTTTGTTAAGTCCTCCTCATCGCAGATCTACATTACACCGCAGGCCGACATTTTCTTACAGGACTTGGGAAGCAGCACTGAGAAAGAAAGTACAACACTGGTATACTGTTGTAGGGCAGACCGACAATCCTAATGGCGCTGCAGAAAAACTTGGCTTATGTCCCCAGTTTTTCAAAGTGCTCGGAGAAGTTAATCCCTTGGAGGAAAAACCATTTCATGAGCTACCATTCTACCAAAAAGTGTGGCTGCTGAAAGGTCTCTGTGACTTTGTGTATGAAACACAAAAGGATGTTCAGGATGCAGTGCTAGGTCAGCCTATCCATGAATGCAGAGAAGTAATTCTTGGTTATGACTGCTTGGAGAATGCATATGTTCATTTTCCACAGTTCTGTGGTGCGGATGTTCGGATTTACAAACAAAAACCTTTTCAGGCTCCTGAATTTCCATCTCTTCCCATCAAAGTTAAAAAAGTACCACGTATTAAATCAGAAAGAGTAAAACATGAATATGTAGCCAAAAGCAATGGGGAGGTCAGTTCTGCTGGTAGAGAACTGCTACATCCTTCCAAGACAGAAGTAGAGAAAAGTATGGACTCTGTTGTTGTCTGTCCAGAAAAAAAACTACATTTAGGCACCTTTAGAATCCCTACCGGGGAGATAAACTGTGAAATCAAAGACTCAAGAGTCTGTGACATCAAGAAAACTGTTTGTTATAAAGAGAACTTGAGGAGTTTGATTACTTCAGGAGAGATTGTTGGTGTGGGTGGTGACTCTAGTTCAAGAGAAATAACGGATGGGGAGAATGGACAAGGTTATGCTGAAATGGCCAGACTAAAGTCTAATACGAGTCCCTTCAAGGAGAACACACTGAAAGCTTGCCAGGTGCATGTCAATGGCACTTACAATGATTACCAAGACACCAGTTACCATGAATCTGCTAAAGAAACAGTGCTAGAGAACTCACTGCGAAATAATAAGAAACTAAATAAGATACTAGCAAAAAAGAAGAAAAAGAAAAAAAAGAAGTTGAAGGATATTCTAAATGAAAATCTACAGAGAAAACTTGATGACCTGCAAAGAAAACGTGAGATTCATCTTCATCCGTTCAAATCTTATAAATCTGAACTCCAGAACAAGTTGTTTATAATTAAAAAGAAAGCAAAACACAAGAAGCACAAATCTGGTAAGTTGACAATTTTTACCTGTAGTAAAACTTAGGAGGATACTGATTTCTAAGTTGTGTTCTTAGCTAATAAGTCTATATTTTATTTTGTGAAACAGGACAGCCTTATTGCATTAGACATTCCGGTTGTTAATTTTAGAGTGAAAGTTTCCCATATAAAGTATGTAAAACAGGCTCATTGGCTGATTAAACCGTGATTCATTTGCAGAATTTAGAGAACATAATACATTTGGAGAGGTTGTTTGTTGCAAAAAATATTTAGAAGAATGAATGTTACTGACTGGTTAGCATCAGAGAGCATCACTTGAAGTCATTTTGTGGTGTCTTACATTAGAGCAATTGTGGAAATGTTTCTCCCCTTTCTGGTAATATTACCTTATCCAAATTACGAAGAAACACAAAGTAATTATATGAGATCATGAATCTAAAGTCATTCATACTGGAACTGTGCAGTCTGAGGTCACCAAACAGTACTGCTTTAACTGTGGGCCTGATTACTGAATCCAGCAACTGAGATACAGAGTTTATGCTGATGGCATTCTTTTTACAGATTTGGGCAGCATCTAGCTAAGTGTTTCAGGTAGGTGATATACAATCCAGATTTCAGTTAACTCACTGGAAAATTTTAAAGCTATTTGAAAACAGTAAAGTTTTCAAAGTCTTTAAGTCAGTTCAAATTGTCAGGTAGCTGTAGTATTTTTGATGTCATATGAAACACCATAAAAGCTTCATTCTGTTGAGTCCTGGGCTAAGCTATCTGTGCTAGATTTTAGCAGACTGCTTCAAAATTTATATTTTTCAAAGTGACAAGCTACTTTTCAGAACAGTGTAAACTGACAGATAAGTACTGGATTTCATCTGAAATGTGGAAAGCCAAAATGAAAAATTTGAATAACAGCAAAATGTCTTCTAAAGGGCAAGAAAATTCCAAGATTTGATGTCAGTGCATTTTACTAGAAGTTCAAATTTAAAGCTAAGGAAACAAGTAATATTTAGATCCCAAATATTTGTGCATAATATCCAACAAACTGTCTTACCATTTAAATCACAAATTCCTCCTTCCAAAAAATTTCAATGCCCACATCTCAACAGAAATTTTAAAAGTTGCAGCTGAAGTTCATATATGTTGTATACAGCAAAACTAATGTATTTTACATTCAGTTGCACTACTGTTAGCTCTCCAAAAGTGTCACTGTTTTCATTTTTCTTAAAACCAAGCAAAGTGAATAATAACCCGAATTGCAAACAAGGCCTCTTTAGTTTGTAGAACAGTTGTTCTTTATCTCTTAAAATGTTGAGGCATTTTCCATCTTAATTCTGACCACTTCTTCATTGCAAATTTTGACCTTACCGGAGAAAATTTTCCTAAAACTTTACAGCATTGCAAGAAAGAGCTGTTGTTCCTATAGGAACAACAGGATACATGTTAAATGTTCATTTATCCTGTACCTATTAGGCTGAAATGGATACAGTTGGATTCAATTCATGCTAATACTTTATTGTTCTGTAAAGTTTTATAATGTTTAAGGTTAAGTAGTATTTGTCAAATATCAGCTGAAATGTAAATCCTCTGTTTAAAGATTCCCTTACAATGTAGAACAGAAAAAAGAGATTTGGTAAAACCCGGTCTGAATTCACAAAGACATTTGATTTAAATCTGATCCTGGCCATAATCACTCTTTACAACATTCTTAAAACAGTGCAGTGGGTAGAAGAGAGCATCAGGAATGTAAAAGTGAGTACCTTTCCTTATTTTTTAACAAAAATTTTTTTTCCTGCTTCTGGTTCTCTCAGGCAGCTAAATGTAACAGTCACAGTTTGTATTTCTGTTGAGATGATTTGCGCACTCCTGGCTTGCTGTAGCAGTGATACCCATCATGAATATAGCCTGGTAGTGCAGTTTTTCTACCTGAAAACTTCCCAGAACTATTGTGAGGAAAACTTACTGGAGAACAGAGCCATGTTATGACCTTTGCCATAATGACAAGGTTTTCTTATGATTTATGAAAAGGTGTAACCACTTTACTGAGTCTGTATCTTTGAGAGAAGATGATGGTTATTACTGTGGCAGCGTTCTGTGTCAGTATTATTAACAGAGTAGTACTGAATAAAGTGAAAATACAGAATCAGGGAGAGCAGTTCTGTAAATAACTTGCATGCTATGCATTCCTTTCTAAATGTATTTTGTTACTGGAGTTAGATAAATTAGGCTATACATCTTGAATTGGACTGTGACAATGGTGATAAGGCTTGTTGGGTCTGGACTAAGCTATGCCAAAGTAAATTGTGGGGTGCAATAAAGGTTTCAGGGCAAGGCACAGTACAAAAGTATGAAAATCCTGTGATTGCATGTTTGAAACAGGGATTGGGTGAAATTCAGAGCATCCGTAGGGTTGAGAAAATAGGAGGCACCAGAGACTTGAAATAACTGTGATGTTCCTGAAGCAAAGGTTGAAGTAAGTTAAATCTCTTTATATTGCAATTGGTGTAGAAAACACCAATACAGCACAGAACTTTAGAAGAACCTTGATGTAAACTCTATACTCTGAAAGATTCATAGCAGTCTACTGCTCAAAGTACCTTTCACAGTGTATTTTATTTCTTTAGAGTATCGGAACTTTTTGTGTATGAAGTCAAGTGTTGATCCAATGTGAAGAAATGAACTAGAAGGCCTGGCAGCAACTTTGTAGGGCCTGGTTTATTGTCCTTGGGAGTTTAATCTTCAAAAGTCTTCTGAAGACTTTTGTCTTCAGTGTTGTAAAAGCTTTGTTGTAGAGTTGTCTAGCCTCTAGACATGAACAGCCTGTTGAAAACATTGAGGGCTATTCCACCAAGTTGTAACAAGGTACACAATTCATTAAGCTTCAGTGCTAGTGTCTTCAAAAATGTGTACCACTGAGGTTTTATAGGGTTTCCTTACATTGTTCTTTAAATCAGCATTGTTAGGGCACTTGTCCATACCTGTTTTGCTCTTTTGATTGTATAAAAGCATATGCTGTGTCAGTATGGAAGCTGCAAAACCCTGTCATGATGCTTCATTTTCCAGATTGTACTATATTATATTTTATAAAGGGAGAGCTGTTGAGAGCACGGAGCAAGATTGAAGATTAGAAGATTAAAGAGGAAATAGGACATCCTCAGTAGTTGCCAAATCTTTGAAAGGCATGAAATGTGTCTTTACAGATTTGTTGACAGAAAGATATAGAGCCTATTCTTCAATTTGAGAACAGTGGAGTTGCACCTAGAATGTAATGAAAACAGAAATTCTTACAGTTGGAGTGGGCTAACTTAACTGTATTTTGCCCTGGCAAATACTACTGAGTTAGTATTTGATGTTAAACACATCCGTTGCCCCATCTGGGGTAATAAGACTTGGCTGCATATGCAGTAAAAATTTCATCTTTATAAAAAATATATTATTCGAGTAAGTTTTTGTTTAAAATTGCTCTCTGTTGTCACTTTATAATTTGTAGCATGGATTAACATTACTTTTCTTCTTCAAGAAACCACAAGGACTCAAATATCAGAGTTTATAACAAAAAGTTTTACTAGGTCTGTAAAAACGTTCCTGTTTTCAAGTCAAAAGGATTCCAATGTAGAAAACTAAAAAATGGTTTTTGCTGAAGTCATTTACAAGTGTCAACAACATTCCTGTGGCTTAGTGTTTTATCTGTCTCATTTTTGTGCTTCTAATGTAGTAGTAGAAGAGATCTGAATTATTTATTTTTTTGTTTCCCCTCCTTCACCCTCAGGTGGCAGGACCTACTTGAGAAGGCTTATGTTTTAGTTGTATCTAATCTCCCTGGTGTGTTTTTTGGATGCTTGTAACTAGTGTTCAGGTTCAAGTTGTTATGTTACCTTGTTAATTGCTTACACATCTGTTCAGTAATAACATCTGTGGAATTTGTTTTGGCTTGGAAGGAAAACCTGTGGCAGCCAGACATCTCCTGAACCTACTGAACTTAAATTTAATATGTAAGAATTTTCACAGAGCTAAAGGGCTCTTGGTTAATAAAATGTTGATTTCCTGTGAAACTTAAAAACAGAAGTGTTCCAGCACTAGTGTTATTTAAAAGAAATAAATGTGAAAGATCTATAGATCTAGATTTCTTTTTACTTTCAGCAATGAGTTTGTTTAAAAAGTTGCTTGATGACAATTATAAACATGTAGAAGGAAAATCAATAAAACCCACCTCTTAACTGTCAGTCATAAGTACAAAATAATCCAATCTCTTGGGATTTGTAGCTGAGATTAAAATAGAGGTTAACTAAAAACAGTATTGATTCAGGGAAGTGATATTTCTTCTACCTTACCTATAGTGGTCACCATTAATTCAGCATTAATTAGCTTCTTAAGAAGCAGTGATGTAAGAAATTATGTTACCCATTTATTTTGGTTTAGGTTTACTTTGTTATATAAAGCGCTGTCTTTAGTTTGAGACTGAATCATACATGAAACCTGGAATACAGTGTTTTAAACACTAAAAATATTTCAGTGCTTTCTAATGTGACGTTCACTTGCTTTGAAATTAGAAAAGCAAGCATGAAGAATAGCATGTTTTGTGTTCCCTTCAATGCTTTCACTAACCTCAAAAATTGGTTAATACTAATACTGTATAGGTTTCTGCCCTCATTGTCCTTCAAGCACCTAACACTAGGTGGACAAGGCAGTATCCAAGTGAATGCTGCTTGTGTCTGCTGAACAGAGTTTTCAGCTTTTTTGGCAGATGAGTACAGGGCGGCTTAAGTAAGTTTACTGTGGAAAACCTGTGTTTTGCTGCATTTCTGCTGCAAGAGAGGTTTGTTTTCATTCAGACAAAACAGTGGTGTGATAGCTAAAATGTTACACAACTGCACTGTTCTTTCTTGCAGAGTGTATGCATTTTGACAGTGCTTGTGTTTCAATTTAATATGCAAGTAGTTTGTTTCAGCAGGTAAAGTCAGAAAATGTGCAGATTGAGTTTTTGGGCTCTGATGCTGCCAACTGTAGGCATAGGTTGGTCACATGTTATTGGAGAGAAATTTTACTTCAATAAATAATTTTGGTTTATATCCACAGGTAATTGAATTATAGTTTAAATTAGGATAAGCTTTGTCGTAGTTTGCTTGAAGAATAAAGTAATTGTGTATTTTCCCTTTATTCTCTGGTAGAGAAAGAAAAGTACTCTGTATTTGTTGTACAGTCCTGATTCATTTACTGAACATGAAAAGAATCTGACCTGGGATGTCTGTAGTTGTCCACTCTCTAGCATCAGAAGTGGCTTAGCTGTGAGAATTGGAGGTGGTATAAAAACAGCTCATCCTCTCCTGCAGTGTGGGAGGGGAAAAGGGATGCTAGTTACAACTTCCATTTGAGGTATGGTGTCTCAATCTCTCCTCCTCTGAGCTGAAACCAAACTGAGATGTGGAGCCTGTTGGAAAAGGCAATGTGGAGACATAATTAGTAATTGTGGCATAGTAAATTGTTTGTGAGTGAATGTAAAGTTACACAGCAGTAGTATAGGCTGAATGTTCCTAGCTTTAGAACAGTGCCATTTGCAGCAAAGTATATTTTTCAATATAGTTTTGTTGTGTATGTTTGAATACAAACCAGTTGATTTTTTTTTTTAATCTAGTAATGTTATTTTATAATCCTGGCAATAAATAAAGCACTTTTTTTTTCTGAAGTGTTAACTATATTTGAAATTGAACTTTGTATCAAAAAGAAGTAAAACTTTAATCTTTATCACAAGTATTGCTCAATAGTGGTAAAGGAATAAGAACAAATCAGTATTTATTTATCAGTATTTATAAAATATTTATCAAACACTTGTCTGAGTAAACATAATTTAGTGTTATAGCTATTGCTGGATGGGGAGACAACTGTTAGTGCCTCAAGATGGTAGGGCTAACAACAGCTTTCATGTACTTCAGCTGTTGAAGGAGAATGCCTCTTCGGCTGTTTCAGGATCATGATTTTCTTTGGACTTCTTGGTTTAGTTTCGGAAACTCTTTATTTGTTTTGATGGAGAGTGTTTTTCTCATTTCAGTCTTACATGATTATGGAGAAGTGTAACAAAATTGGTTGGAGAGAAGCATTGTCTGGTTTGTCTTCCTTCTGAGCAGTGCAGTCCTGAGTTAGTGATTCCTATGTATTTGTTGCTAATATATGTATACTGTGCAAGGCAGTCTTTTTTAAAAAGTCGCAAACTGTAGAAATGCTGGTTGGAGAAAACATCTGGAGGTCATCTGCTCTGATTCCTTGTTTGGAGCAGAACTGAGACAAATACCAGAGCAGGTCAGATGTAACTTGAAGATCTCTAAAGATGGAAATCTGTTTATTGAACCACTGTGGAACCCTTCCCTCTCTAAAAATTTTTGTACTGAAATTGCTGTATTATTTTGTCCGTGTGTAGAACTCTTGCTACATGCTTTATAAAATATGACTAGTAAAAGGTGGAATCTGGAGGCATGGGAAGGAAGCAGGCTGTGTTGAATTGGTGAGCTAAAGAGATTCCTTATTAGAAATATTTATTTTCATTATCTTAGGTTTTTCTAAGTTTTTCTAACTGGTTGCTAGTAGTCAGCAATTAAATATATTTGTACATTGAGTATGCTCTGAAATGTACAGTGCACTGAGATCTGGCTGCTGTCAAAAACATTATCTGCTAAGGAATTATTATAAGCCATTTGAAATAGTTACTTTACCTGTGATTATGGGCAAAATATCCCTAGCAGACCTCAGTGGAGTGATTTGAGAAGTTGCCTCTCCCAGCTGATACTGGTTCAACCCCTTGGGGATTTTGTTATCCCCAGACAGGGTTAGTAGCCAGATGTGGTAGAGCCAATCATACACAGAGACAAGGTAGTGTTGTGTTAGTGTGTAGTTACGAAGTTCCAAGTCTGGGTGCTGGATGGTAATCCACAAAACCAGCACACCTCTGGGTTACAAAGCTCTGTTTTTAAACACTGTTTTATGATATATTCCACCTACGTAATACATATGGATTATTAGCTAACTGCTGATTGTGAAAGAATAGTTTCCTGTTACCATTGTTTGCAGATGTTTGAAGTTGAAAAATACTATTTTGGGAAAAACAGATACAAGCTTTTTTAAAAGGAAAAGATTATCAATGCTACTGGTACAACTTCTTTTTAACATCAATTTTGTGTTTTATGAGGAAGTTACTAGGGTAGAAGATGAATTTGTGATAAGTAGTTTGCTGTATGTATTAATTCTCTCCCATTGTGCAAATATCTGTAGTGTTTTCTTAATTTTTTATATGTGATAGCCAAAAATGCCTGCACCACAGGATATCTGGTGTCAAAAAATGTGAAAAAGACTGTAGTGCTTCTCTGTACATATATATGCTTAGCTCAGGGCAGATGCCAGCCTGGGAATTGTGTAGGTCTTTTGGTGCATGTATTCCAACAGGCATGCTTCGTGATAACCCGTATGTCATACTCTATTTTTAACTTTTTTTTTCCTTGATCCACTTTACACAGGAGGTAAGGCTCATTTTCCTTGTGCTTCTAGACAGTTTCTTTTAATCCTTGGTCTGTCTATTACCCCATATCTTTCCTACTTCATACTTTTTAGATGCTGATGCAAAGGAAGAAATTTTTATTTTATTTGGTTTTTTAATTGTTTATAATTTTTTCTAACAGTTTTCTATCTCTTTTGTCACAAGGATATGTTGGGGAAAAGAGAGTATTTCTGTTATTTTTTGAAGTACACTGCATCATAAATCATACTGCACCACATGCTGAAAATTTTCAAGTAAACATTTGTTGAAAAGTACATTACAATATTCAAGTAAAGTGAAAATTTCGTTTTAAACATAATCAAATCTTCCTTTTTGAAAGGAAGCAAGGCAGTCTAGCTGCCCTTTTTAAAGATCTTTTCATATTCTTTCCAAATAACATTTTTTACAGGGCTATTACACTATACGACCAGACTTCTTTTTGAGTCAGTTTGTCAAGAAAGGTTATAAGTGTCTACTTTAGTTCAGTAAATGGACAGCAATGTTCTCAGTAGAAGCAATTATGTTTTCAATGCAACTGTATCCATAAACTACATAACAAAAATGGTGACTTATTTGCCCCTTGTCAGGACGTTTGGGTTGTTGTTCTAATAAACATGCCTCTCTGTTTTATCACTTGTTCTCTAGTGTGAAATCTGTAAGAGTTTGTTTTTGGTAATTGAGGGCTCTTTAAATTTTTTAATGTGTTCAGTATGGGGAGTTTCAAATCTAGACTGATTTAGTGATTTTTATATAGTTCGATTTTATGTGGAGTTTCAGATCTAGATTCTTCAAGCCCTGTGCCTTGTCCCTTAAATGTGTTTATTTCAGAGTCAGGTAAGATGTTCAGGAAACTCACAGTATAATAAACTGAAAATATAGATGCCCAGGCACCTATAGAATAGATGCCTAGAAATAGATGTATGTGTATGTACATATGCATTTGCCCACACAAGAAAACATGTGTTAAGAAGAATTTAAATGCAATATTTGCCAATATTTTCATTAATATAAATATTGAATGTGCCTGTGCTTGTGTTGTTACCAAGTGCCTGTAATTATGCTAGTTGACAAAAAATTATTTTTTTTTCAAGTTCTTTTTTTGTTTAAGGGTTTTAATTCTTTTTTAAGACTTCCACATGTGAACACAGTAATAATGTTAGAGTGATGGTCTGGCCTGAGTGGACAAGTTAAAAGTGGTCTTATTTCAATTTACCATATGAATGTAGAAATAACCATATAAGAAATTCTCCTGTCTTGCATATATTGCTTAGTGACATAAGTCATTGATTTGAGAAATGTATGTCAGAGCTCTGACATTCTAGGCAGTAAAGCACCTGCCTTACCTTCAAAGGGATGTTTTGGTACGTCCATGTTCTTATATAGCATAGGTGAGTGTAAACTGCATTATAGGAAGGCATTTGCTTTCTTCTAAAACTGTTCAGTTCTGCTGTTGCTGGAAAAAACAAATCAATAATCTGATTTCATTGGTTACTTCAGTATGTTCAGTCAGGCATTTCTAGATATTGCTTGTGCTTTGAGGGTATCTTTTTACTGTACGGTACAGAGATCCCAGATCCTAATGTGTGATTCACTTTACAGTGTCAGAGAACAAATCTTACAGGTAAGATGCTGTATTTCTTAAGTTTGTGCCGTAAGTTTTGGATTTCACTCCTTTCAGAAGAGTGGTGTGAATGTTTCCTTTATGATTGAAATTTTTGGATGCCATGTTATTAGAATTGTAATGGGTTTATTCCTTTTCTTCTTGTTTATTCTTTTTTTTCCTTCCTCCAACCCCAGAAGACTGCACTACACAGATACGTGTTTAATGTTTGCTTTTACTGAGCCTAGTTCTAATTCATCATGTTTACATGACTTACTGTAAGCCGTCTGTTAGTTACAGTTTAACTTTCAAGTCTGTATATAGCTTGGTTTTATTAATTAAGTACAACAAACAGCATTATGAAGCTTTTCTCTTTTAATCTTACAAGGAAAAAAATCACTATCTAAAAAAGCAATCACAAAGAAGAGGAAGGGTGTCAGAAAGTCTACCATACCAGAATTTCAGGTAATTATTTTAATTTTTGTTTTAAGCACTTGAAATCTGACTGTCTGTGAAGTAAGTCCTTTAGTTTCTGATAGAGATGTTGGAAATCCTTCTTCTAGTTTGAGAGGTTTAACCTGATAGTATTTGTAAAAGTGCGTTTCACCTTTTCTTGGTAAAGAATGTTTTAGCATTTTTATTATCTGCAGCTTGCACACTGTTCCACACTGTTGTTTAGATCTCAGATATATCTGTTACTGTATAAAATCTATAAAAGCTAGGAGTTGTTAATGAAATTTTTAGGGTAGATAAAATTTTCTGGGATAAAATTACTTGTTTTGTATGAGGTATGACAATGTGGTTCTTTAATTGAAATCCATCTTGGTTTACTGAAGGACTTGCAAAAAATTTATAGGCAACTATGCTCACCTTGCTTGTCTGTATGTGACTTTAGGGCCAGAGAGCACCAAGAGTATTAATTATGATAATGTGGTTTTATGGTGCTGTAGTAGAAGTGTTACAGTGCTTCAGTTCTAAGTTGCTATTTATGTATGCATGCCTGCTTTGCATTGAAGTTCTCCTTTGGCTATCTTTTTTTTTTTCTTCAGAAAGCAATCTGGGCTATTTTGACGAGTAGACCCACATTAAATCATGACTGTTTTCTAAAACCCACCCACCAAATCAGTTTATTCCACCATGATGATGATGATGTGTTTCAGAGGGAGCTAGTAGAATTTCTGGTGATAAAATTGGTTAGTAACACTCAATATTGAGAAACGACTGACATTTAAGTGTAATCTGTCTTTTATCTATATTGTAATGGTAGTGACTGAAATGTTTCCAAAAAATAGGTACAGTGTCTAAAAATTTTATTTTTCCGAGCACATTACCTCCATGCCATGGATATATACAGTTAGGTTAGAAATCCTTTTTTTACAGTATTAAACTACTGCATTTAAGTAGTCTGTCTAAAACTTAGCCCAATCTTTTAGCTAATCAAGGTAAAATGTACATACATTTACATATCTATCTAAGTGTATATTTATTTGTGTAAAAACTTAAAATATAACATAATACTTCTGGCTCTTTTGATCAAAGCTATGAGTTATATCTGGTTTAGGTGAGGCTCAGATTGATTAGTATTGAGCAGTTTAATCTTATGAGGGAACTCTTTAACAACTTAACCTGCCTTTTTCAAGAGGACAGACGGGATTGGTGTGACTGTTAGAAGTATTTGCAAATACTAAAACATTTATATTTTGAATAATATTAAGACTTTTGGAATCTGGTAATGTATGCTTCAGTATACTTTTCCCGCATACACAGATAACCAAACTTTATGAAATTATGAACTGTTTGAAGGTACAAGTGTATTTTTTAAATATTTGATAAAACACCTTAAGTATACAGGTGCTGTGAAATATGGAGGAAGGATATAACCACAAGTATATTGCTATTCTTGTCTAAACATCAGTTCTTTTGGAATGAAAATTAATAAATAAAAATGTATAATATTTTTCATGTTCCTGCAGCCTACAAATGTAGAAAAAAAAACCCAAACCAACCATAAGACACTTTATTTTATCAGATTAGGTTCTGTAATTAAGTATAGATCCCATACTCGAAAATCATAACTTGTCACTAAAACTGAGTAAATTAGTGTTAATAAGTCTTTTAATATGTACAATGATAAAAATTATACATTAAAATCCATTATTAACAGAAACATTCAGGAGTTAATTGTACTACTTAATTTTAACATTTATAATGCCTAACATTTTATAAAGGAAACGTTTTTTCTCCTCAGATTATTTTTCTCATGATAGGTCATTAGAAGGCATGTTCTTCAAGAACCATATATGAAACTACCAGTAAGATATCAGAATGTAATGTAATCTAATCTAATCTAATCTAATCTAAAATGATTAGGTTGTAAATCAGTACCTCTCCTTTTACCTTCATATTAGCTTACCCATTAAAACATAGAACAATTTAGAAAGGCAGTGTTGTTCACAGGAAATTGAATTGTTTAGTTCCACCAAGTCCTTTTTTAAGTCCTTTTAAAATGCTTAGTCTAAAATACATAAATTCTGTGTCTAACACTTTCTAATAATATACTTAATTTTCAGGCTACAACAGCAAAGAGCAAAGAACATGGGAACATAAATAAAAATCTCATTAGGAGAAATATGATCTAGATTCCGTAACAAAATGATCATACAAAATGCACTACACTTTGTTATTACTATCCTTTTCATCTTTCCTTCAAAACGCTGGCTTTGTTCTGTAAGGTGGGAAATGTTAGCCGTGTGAGAGAAGCTTCGTAAATACTTTCTTCCCGATCAGTGTGCTTCTTTATTTCCCCACCTGAAATCACACTGTGAATGACAAAATATAAATTTTTTCTTGAACCTTTTTTTTATAGTGATTTTCAGTACAGTACTGAACTATTTCAAATACTGAACTAATTTTGACCATAAATCCTCCAGGGTCAGCTGCTGTTACCTTCCTTGTTTTACCAGAGTGTAGCTGACACACAGATATGAGCCTCACATGTACACCTCCTCTGTTGAAAGTTGGGACTTAGAGATTTGATTACTCTTGCCTGTCTTTCCCAGCCCCAAGACAACTCAACTTAGTATATTGGCATTGTTTTTCCCATTGATGTAGTTTGGATTGGTCTCATAGAAAAAAATAAAAAGTAGTGATAATACTTAGTAACTGAATTTTCAGATATCTAGTCAAAAGAGTGGTTTATAATTGTGTAGGGAAAATCTTCATCCATGCCTTTATTGACTTTTTTCAAGGACTTTATGTGACATACTTGCACTTTTTTGCATAATAATACAGTATCATAGATTTCTTCACAGGCCAGACAGGCAAAGAAAAGCCAGTATTTAGCTTCAGTTTACATCTTATGTATTTAACACTTCTTTGAGTGCAGGACAGACATGCATGTTGAACCTGGTAAAGTTACACATAGTAATTTTGTTTCCTGGCTTAAGAGAGATACCTTTTGCAAGTTAATTTTGCATACATTGCGTGTGGCAAGACAGTGCCAATTTCCTTATTAATTTGCTATTCTAAGCTTGATAAATGTGAAAACTGTAAACTTTAGTTTGAATCACTTCAGTTCCTCAGTGCTTCAAATGCGCACAAGTGCTATGAAAACGATGATGTGTATGCATTAGAGGTTTTTGAAATTGATGTATTTTGCAAAAAGTGTCAGTTCTGTGTTTTAATAGTGAAAAAAGGCTCTTTTTAATGTCTTTGCTACAAATCTAAAATTGCACATGAATTTGATGTAAAACTATACTGTTATGAATTACTGATTTGGGAAAAATAATTAACACTTGTATGATAAAAACAGTTTTTCTGGGATGGGTTTTGCATGGTTTCTTTTATTATAATTTTTTTAATTTTCTTAAATTATTTTAATATGTTTTCAGTAATAATGAAAAGATTTTCACCTAAGGGTGTTCAGAAAAAGCAAGTCTTAACCTGAAAGAACCTAACAGCTTAATAATTTCCAGTTTATTACGTCTTAAACTGCCCTAAATGATGATAAGACAAAATATACAGATTACTTTTGCTTGATGGTTTTTTCAAGAAGATAGCATCCATTTTCTGAAAGGAGAAATGTAAAAAAGCTGATTTCTAAAGACAGGAATAAGAAAAATATAATCCTTTCTCAAAATGTACACAAATAGGTAGATCTGATAGACAACTAGGTTGCCTTAGAATCATAGAATCAGCAAGGTTGTAAGAGTCCTTCAAAATCATCCAGTCCAACCAGCACCCAGCACTACAACTGTAACCACTAAACCATATCACCAGATGCGTCTTAAACACCTCCAGGAACAGAAGACTCTGTGTCAGCATATAAAGTTATGTTCAGGAAAAAGTTGTAACAAGTGTGAAATGTTATAAGCACAGCATACTCCAAAGCTAGTATACTTTAATTCAACGGGAGTTGTCTGGAACTCAAAGATGTTCCAACTCATTAGTGCACTTGAGATAAATTTGGTAGTTGTCATTCACAGAAGTTTTAAGAAAATACCTACATTTTGAAATGGAAGCTTACAGGCAGAGATATGATTTATGTCTGAAGAATAGATTATTTTCTTATTAGCTTGTCTTTCTTTCAACAAGTCCTGCTTTTTTTTTTTTTACTTTTAAAAACGCTGTAAGAAAATAAAAAACAAATGGTAGCGTTAAGTAATACCGTGCTTTTACATTTTATTTAACTTCATTGTATGTTTTCCAAGTCCCACATCACCGAGTGTTTGTGTTCATTTGTTTTTTAGCTTATTTGCACTAATCTTGATGAACTCAGGGAATTAATCACAAAGATTGAGAATGAACTCAAAGATCTGGAGGACATTAAAAAGAAATCGGTATGTGACATTAACAGCTTTCTCTTGTATGGATATAAAACAGTACCAGTTATTTACTGAGGCCTTTCAACTGAAGATTTTTATGCTGTTCAATAACTGCATAAAACCTCATATGGTTGATACCTAGAGACTGTAATTTTAATCTTTCCTGTATGTAGTGCTCTGTTCTCAATGTTTTTAGAAGTGAATTCAGTAACCGTGTTAACACTTTTCACTGCCAAAATAAATTTGGATAGTGGCGATGCCTTAGAAGGAGTAGTTCATTTCTATTAAACATGTTAACATTCTGCCCTGAGGACAATTCTTACTAACAAGCAATTACAGAATAGAATTCTTATATCTGCCTATGCAGTGCTGATCAAAACTTCCAGTGAACTGACTCTTACATTGTTATTGGGATTCCTAACTCCTTTTGTTTGCAAGTAAGTTATTAAAATTGGCTTTGTTTAATTTTTATTAAAGTAGGTTGTACCAGAAAGCATGCTATCTGGCTTTTGGTGTCAGACTGAGATACAAATTTTACCAATGTACGCTGGATCACTCAGGCTATGCAGCTGAAAACCTCGAATGAGTAACGGTTAGACAAGAGAATCCAATATGTTTTGGCTTTTGTAGGAGACAGTGGTTTTAATTAAGATGGTAGATAAATTTAAATACATGAATAGTACTCATATGAATGTCCCTTTTTAGTGAATTATTCTTCTTGCATTTTTGTATTGTAGTTCTGTTTATTGAACTAGGCATTTCCGTGGCATTTCTATAAAGGGTGGGAGATAAAAATGTTGCTTTTTCTAAACCTTAGAAACTAGACTGCTTTTAATTCAAGTGAATGTCTACAGTCTCATGCAGAAACAATTTATTCCTAAATTTTTTTAAATAGAGGAGACAGATGTAGGAGAGAGGCAATATAAATTAGGACTCTGAAAGACAAATTTCTCTGCAGGCACTTAGCATAATAATTGTTGAAATATCCAAGCGAATAAAAACAGCCTTATCTTGAAATTATTTTGCAGTTGCTAAATTGCAAATTGGTTTTTATGATAAAATGTCAAGAGGTTATCAGAAAGGTTATGGCAACAATAGAAGAAAAAGCAAAAAAATGAGAGTATACTATAGTATATAAATAATCTTAGTTTAGGTGAGACTTTTAGTCTGCTAGTAAAACTGTATGAACAAGACTTCTTCAAGGGTAGACAAATGCTAAATATGTCATAATTGCTCTTTGAACTGAAATCTGATAATGTCATTATGTAAGTAAGTTGCATGACTTCAGCAGGAATACTATGTTTAGTTCTAATTGCACCACCTTAAAAAAACCAAACACTGAAGTATAGGGGAGTTAAGATTCAGCATTCGGAAGTTATGAGGTAAGGACAATCTTTCTTGTGCTTGTATAGACCTATCAGATCGTGATTCTGGGTCTCTAAAGACTTGTGTTGTTAGAAATTTTACAGAAAGGAAAAGGGTTAGGATTAATTGCTGAAGAAGTGGTTATGAGGAAACAGTAAAGTGAAATACTGATTTTTAAAAACATATTTATTAGGGAAGTTTCATGTTTTCCTTTCAAACATACAAAGATGTTAAATTAGATGAAAAATCATAAATTTGACATGTTAAAATTAGGTTTCAGTTTGTAAGGAAAGTCATTAGGATGTCACTTTTGACGTCTAACACCATGTGTAATTTTGTTAGATAGGTGAAAAATTGGAGAAAAAACAGATTTTTATTCTTCAGCTCTGACCAAATGACAGTGGCAGTTTCACAAGCATCTAGAATCAAATTTGTTTGGTTTTTCTGACTATTAAATAAGACATTGTTTTAATTTGCTAATGGAAGTAGGATCTAATGTGAAAGCTTATTTTAATATGATGGTATTTATATGTGTTGTTCATGGACTTTTTTCTTGTTTTGACCCAAAATGGTGATGTTGTTACTACTTCATGGTAACTTCATTGATTTTTGTTTGCAACAGTGACCTGAGTAAAGCCATAGGAATCTTCTTCATGGCTAACCTCCTTGGTAATTCCAGTTTTAGTAGTTGCTAGCACATGCTACTGAGAAAAATTGTCAAGGCAAGCTTTAATGTTATGTTAATTACTAAAGCATATTAGAAATACAGCTTGTCTAACTGATAGTAACACTTTTAAATATAACCTTTTCTTAGTCCTAACCTCGCTTTTGTTTCCTAGAAGACCATTCTAGAGTACGTAAAAGGAATTCCTTCTCCAGAACTTGGAATTAGTGGAGACTATAATGAGAGAGCTGAGCTGTAACGCTTTTTTGACATGAATAAACTTACTATTTTCCCTCATTTTTTATAGGTAGTTGGACTGGTTGTATCTGACACGTTTCAGAACATCAGCTTGAGACAACGAATGACATGACAGGTTTTTGTTTGGCAAGTTAAAATCAAATTAGAACAGGGTTATGTAATGGAAAGCCATGGGTAATTTTAAGTGTGGACATTTCAACAAGCTTCTTCCACAACAATGAAGTAATAAATCTGCTTGGTTAATTAAAACAGTTTGTTTCTGTACTCTTGTGCACTGTATTGTCTTTTGAATTAGTTATGAGTATTATTTTTCCTTTTAAAAAGTCTTGCACTTTTGATTGATTACTGGTGAGTTTGTTGTACCAATTGTGAGATTTGCTTTGTGCTAGTTCACTGTAACTGTTTAGAGAGGAGAATAAAATTTGACTTCAGTTCTTTAATTTTGAACAGAGTTCAACTGTGCTCTTGAACGCCAGCCACAGTTCTGAAGTGACACTGCAGTTTCACATATGCTTTCAACTGACATAAGCCAAAACTGCTGCCAAATAAGTAGTTCCTACTCTCTGTGTCTCTGGAAGCTTCTCTTTTCTGTTCCACCCCATGAGAGAAGCTAGCAAAATTCTTTATTCAGCTGCGTGGTGAGAGAGTTAGTCTGTGATAAACCTAACTACCCTTTTTCTGCTGCTGAGTTTTTTTAAGCCAGATCAGTTTTCTAGTGCAATTTATCATGCAGTTGCACAAATACCTGTGCTTGTATTCTGCCAGAGTCTGAGGAGTCATTGTAAGAACAGGATTGAGCATCTGTGGGGAAAAGAAAGTGGGACTGATTTGGACAGGAAAAGTGCCTTTTTGTGACAAGTGAAGTTGTGTGTGATGTTACTATCAGAAATGCTCTAAAAAGTCTATACCTTCAGCTGCTAAACAGTTCTATGTATTATATGTAATGTATCTACTATATATTACATATCCAGAGGGGGATGAGAAGTCAAATTAGTGAGATTTACTGTTTGAGTGCCTGACAGGAAATCAGAAAGTGAAAGATGCAGAAAACGGGACTTAAGGGACTTGTGTTTAATGTTCTGTGCACTGTCTAGTGACAGGATAGAGAATGGTTCCCTAAGGAATGTCTAAGCTAGAATCCTTTAATTTTAAAATAGTATGACTAAAAATGGCAGTAAAAATTGAATTAATAGAAAAAAAATGTGTTAAATTTATGTGGGTTAAATTACAAGCAGTGAGTAGACAATTATAAACCTGAAGTAGAACATACTGGCTAAAAATTCTTTTGAGATTTTATTGCATTTTTACCTCTTATTTGCTGAAAATTTAGACTGTATATATAATATGCATGGCTGTTCAGTTGAATGTGAGGTCTTAGAAATTTGCTATAACTATCAAATCGATCAAGACATGCAAAGTAGCCTAATTCCACACTTGGAGTGGTATTGCTGAAAAAATAATTTTGTCAAACGTGATAGTGAAGCATTTTACCAGTATATTTAGGATAACATAGAGACTGCTATTTAATATATGAAATTTCTTTTATGAGAAGAGATGGTAAAGTAGCACCTCCTGTCCTATCAGTATGCAAGATAACAACTATGAGCTTCTGACATTTTGGATCCCATTTTTCCATAGGTTTTCTGTGTCTGGTCAAATCAGTGGGAGTTGCAGCATGAGTGGAAATCTTCTTACTGCCTTGCAGATAATCAGCTTCTCTTGTGATCTGAAATAATTTTGCTTTGTGTGTGTGAAACTGTTAATTAAGCTATTTGTAGATCATTTGTATATACTTTACTATTGCATATCATAGCAAAAAATTTTATTTTTTTTCAAACCCTTCTTGACATTGTGTAGTATGAAAGTGCCAGGACTGCAGGTACTTGGATAAAATAGTGAACCTTGGGCTTTTTTTGCAGATGCCATTTTGCAAGCTGACTTTGTAGTAAGCGTGTTTTTATGTAAAATTTGAACATGAACATTGAAAGATTTCTTATTTACTGTAATGCAAGACTTTATTTTGGTAGGACCATTGGATTGGAATCATTCCCTACAAGTATGACCAGTAAATGAATTGCTGTCCAGGGAGTTAGAAGGGAGGCTGGAGCCCAGGATTCCCATAGCTAAGTTGAGAAGGTTAAATGGATAAAGGGCATTACTTTCCTGAGAAGGAGACCACTCTCTCCCTATAGAGAGAAAAAAGTCAGACAAAGGTTAAGGAAAGGAGAATTACTTAGTCAAAGGACACCAGCCACGTTAAGAACTAATTAGGGTTTGGAAAAAATGCATTGAAGATTTTATTGTTTATGGAGGTCTGTAACACCCTGATGTTCTTGACTTTGTAACAAAAAAAGTAAAAACCTCTCTTATGAAGGTTTTCAGTTCTGCTATTTTTCCCGGAGGTTAGACAGTTGATTTAGACAGTCCCAGGACAGGTGAATGTCTTTTGTCTATCTTTGGGAGTGGATGTATATTTTAGGCAGGTGAGTCAGAAGGGCTGAAAGCAAGCTGAGGTTTTCTGCAGCTTCAAGTCCATATCTGCTGAAAAAATACATATTTCAGAGAGCATCTGAAAATTCAGAGAGAAAAACCCACTGGTTCAGGTCAGAAATATTTAGAACCTTGGACATAAATTAATTTATGAGGGTAGTCAAAGGAATACATTGATCCAGGATGGAACATAATATTTTCCATATCTGTTTTTTTTGACACTCTAAACAAGCTGCTG